GAGGAGAGAGAGAAAGAGAGAGAGAGAAGAGGAGGAGAGAGAGGAGAGAGAGAGAGAGAGAAGAGAGAGAGAAATAGAGTGAGAGAGAGGGAGAGGGAGAGAGGGAGAGAGGGAGAGAGGGAGAGAGAGTGGGAGAGAGAGAGGGAGAGAGAGAGGGAGGGAGAGAGAGAGAGAGAGAGAGAGAGAGAGAGAGAGAGGGAGAGGGAGAGAGAGAGAGAGAGGAGAGAGAGAGAGAGAGAGAGAGAGAGAGAGAGAGAGAGAGAGAGGGATAGAGAGGAACCGATGTAAAAGATACGGATCCATCTCTCTCGCTCCCTCTCTCGTTTTCTCTCGCGCTTTCATGTATTCTCTTTCAATCGCTCTTTGTCACTCTCTCTCCGAGATGGTCTATCTCTTCTTCTCACTCACAATCATGCTGCTGAACAGGATTCCTTACTTGAAGAGCAGACGAATCCGCATGCGACTGCTGTGCGGCTCGCACAAGAAACGGATGCACTCCCGGCCGCATTGGATGACAGCTCCCGTCTGCATAATGTGTGTCGGACTGTCTGTGGCAATGGGTGGAAAGGGCATTGCCACTCTCGCGGATTTGTTGATCGTCTTCATGCTAGTGGTACCACGTGTGACTGATTGGCTAATCCGGGTGGCTAAAAACTCAGTATACTAGTGCCTGTGCACTAGTATATTTGTAACGTGCAACCACGTTTGTAAACCATAAGGGTTACAACTCCCTCTCTTCACGCTAGGTCGTGGCTGCGGATGTTGTCGCGATGCATCGTGATGCATCGTGAAGCATCAACGTCGGCATTTTGGAAGCGCATGAACGGCAAACCAGGATCCATCGGAGAAGTGGTGCAGCTGGAGGGAGGAGATGCCCAAGGGGTGGAGTACCACTTTCCGAGACGGGTGAAAAACTCAGTGGGGTTGCCTATGCTCATGCGGCGTCAAGCGAGTCCGTCACGTGGCGCGGATGAAGGTGAGTGAGGGTGCAAATGTTCAAGGAAGTGCAAGTGGTAGGAGTGTATCATGGTACGATGTAATAGTACTTGACGACCCTCCCCTCTGCCAACCCCCAATTTCCTCTAAGTAGGAACTCACTCCACCCTCCCCTCCCCGGAAGAAGCCGACCCCGTGGAGGGGGAGTCAGAAGTGAGTGGGATGTCAGGAGATGGTGATGAGGGACGGATGAACGACTTTGGTAGTGACGATCCTGAGCCGATAACAGAATCTGCGGGATCGCGAAGGCACGTTGGGGGGGAAGCTGAGAACACAACTATAGAGAGCGGACTTGATTCTCCACAACGGCATCGCCTACGTTGCCAGACAGGTACCATAACCATTATCCCCCCCTCCCCCCCCGAACACTTTGAGCGTGTCTCAAAATGATGCTAAGGCCATGGTAGACAGAGTGTTGCATTGTCGAGAAGCCTCCTCCCCCAAACCCCCTCTCACCGTCCATTCCCTCATCCGATACCCAATCCGTTTCCATCAAACCATCATACGCAGGACATGGGACAACTTGAGGCACACAGGATGGGTACCACGAGGTTGGCCTGATGCCCCTTGCATTGACACAATTCCTGATGGCAAGGTGTGCTTTCTCGATCCACGAGACCACAAACTGAGGTGTTGCAAGAAGACGACCTGTCACGGCTCAATGCATTTGCGCACTTGGGATTTTGCATGGGCTTGCTTTGGGCAGCTATGGATGTGCGATGCTTGTGGAGGGAAGACCGTGCTGTGGTATACGAGCAGAGTGCGTGACGATTTACCACAAAGCAAGACAGTTCCACGTAGCCCACCAATGTTCATGAAGCTGCTAGGCGCCTTTACACTAGCGGGTCTAGGTTTTCAGGTCATGTGGGAGGTCTGTCATCACTTGGGGCTTCCCCCACCTAGTCACGGGATCTGTTTCACAAAAATGGGAGGTGAGAATGGATTGTGGAGTGTGATCATCCGAACAGCGCTCGCATGTATGGCCGCGGTACGGGAGGGCATTAGTCAAAGACCAGAGCGTAGAGAGAGCATTTGCATTGATGGAAGATGGTCCCATGTGCGTGAGGCTGGATGGTGCACCGTTTCATTCATGGATGATGCTTCACGTAAGATCATGTACTACAAGAACACTAGGTTGGGCATCGATGCTGATTCATCTGTCGGCCTAGAGCGGGTTGGTTTTTACCGTGGATTGGAGGACTTAGAGGGTCTAGGGCATCCAATCACGAGCATTGTCATGGATGGTAGCAGCACGTATATAAGAGCTGCAGCAGATTTGGGCGTGAGGCACCAGGAGGACAGGTGGCATAGGATCGGCAACGCGAAGAAGGGTTTTAGGAAAAATGTCCAGGATCTCCAGTGGACATATGACAATGTAGATGCGGTTGAGGTATGCAACCAATTATGGATTCTTACCGTGGCCAAGCTGCGGAATTGGCTCGGGCAACCATGTCGAAATGTGTCTATGCGAGGGAGCAACAGCAAGGCAGCGCTGGTGCAGGCAATTTGTCGAATGCGGGGCATGACTAGTGCAGATGCCAAGTGGAAGTTCCCCGAGTTGTGACAGGTATTGCTAGTCGATGGAATAGGTGATGCTGCAGTGGGAGTGGAGTGGAGGAGGATGACGTTGGCCCGTTGTGGGATTATGACGGGTATTGTGGGATTTGGGATCCGGCCGACTACCCTGGCATCAGCTATTCTCGTTCAAGCATGGTCTGGGGTGGAGGATGTGGATCTGATATGGGGCAACAATGTAACGACGCATTCGCCAAATAACACCGGTTCTCATATTGCAGGCATTGTTTCTCACATTTTCACATGTTCAAACCCATTTCCCTGCTCTCACTCCTCGCTGGACCCGCATGCGTGGCCTTGATTTTTAGTCGCACAAATTCTACTGCGTGCCTCAACATCCTGATACACTACATTTCACTGCGCAACTCTATCGCAGGAACGGAGGGGGCCTACGGAAATGAGGAACATGCGGCTCCAAGTTTTGCAGCTACGGATGATAACGCACAGCAAGCGGCGTCACCGTCAGCAGTACCCATCTGGGGACCACGGGGTGCACAGGACGTCTAGGCGGCCGGGTGAAGGAGGTTGATGTGGCAGACCGGTACGGCACCCACATGGCACACGTCATGCTGCGATGCGGAGCACGGAAAAAGGCGAGGAACCCTATGTCGCCCGAGGAGGTGTCTCACAAGATCTGTCTTGCAGCCGACCACTGGGCTGGGGATCATCGACTTTGCGCACGTGCATGTCTTGATCCGAGGTGTGTTCGGGAAAACAGTTGTCGGACACAGGCACTTTATCTGCCTAACTCCAGTGCTCATCGTAAAGTTACGCGCTACCTTGCTGATAACTTTTCACCGGCCCAGGTGGTGACGAAAGTGGACGGTGCGACGAGCTCAATGAACGAGTCTTTCCACTCAATCATTTTGAAGTACGCATCCAAACGCCTCCGTCTTCAAGGCAGCTAGGAGGCTCGAATAGCCTTAGCTGTGTTACACTGGAATAACACGATGGACCGGCTTGTGAAAGCATATATAACGCGGGCACGGCAAATCACAAAGGTGCGGCGTGGTCGGCACGATAGGGTGTTAGTGTTTGAAAACTAGGATCTAGGTAGGAGGAGGAGCCATGGAAATGGCGTGAGGTTTTAGGGTAGGAAAGTTGGTGAGAGAAAAGAGAACTAGAAAAGAAGAGAGAGGGATACAAGGAGGGGTGTTGTACCCTCTACAGAAATATTCAGTAACCACTACCAAGCTTACAATTATATACTAACATATATAATTTAACACACCCCCAAGGGTTGGTAGCAAGGACCCACACACCCCCACACCCCCTAGCCTAGCACCCTCATTCCCATCAGCCACGACTACTCCAGCAGGGCCCAACTCCAAGGCATTGGAGATGGTGACGGCGGCCATCCAGGTAGCGGCGACAGCGACGGCGATGACAGGCGTGTGGTGGCAACAGGCCTGCGGCGACGACAGCGACGATGACGACGGCTTCGGCTGACGACGACGACAGCTTCGGCTTACGACAGCGGTAACGGCAGCGGCCCCCGCCCTTCCGGCGGCGTGTCCAAACTCCACGACAGGGGGACGACCGGCGAGAGTCAGGCGACGGCGGTGGCGAAGAGGAGGGGACAGAGGGAAGGGGGAAGGGGGGGGGCTTCGGATCTTCAGCGCGGCGTCATTGCTGGCGTGGCGCTTACTGGCGTGCAGGCGGGCTGCAAGTCCAGCAGCGACGCAGGTGGTGCGTGACGGCAACAGGCCGACGACACCGCCATGACACCACTACGACGCCACCACAGCGTGGCGTCGGGGCCGCGGCTGCTGGTCGACGCTGAGACGATAGCACACAGAGGCCGCCGCGGCATCTCGGAAAATGTGCCACATCGGCAGGCAAACGGAAGGCCGCAACGGCGGCGAAGTAAGGACGGGTACGCGGCGGAAGCGTGGCCCATGCGATGCGACGGGGCCAGCGCAGATTAACGGGGCCAGCGCGGCATGACGGGGAGGGAGTGCGCGGCGGAAGCGAGGGGAGCAGTCCCGGGAAGGGAACCTGCTCTGTTACCATGTCTGAAAACTAGGATCTAGGTAGGAGGAGGAGCCATGGAAATGGCGTGAGGTTTTAGGGTAGGAAAGTTGGTGAGAGAAAAGAGAACTAGAAAAGAAGAGAGAGGGATACAACGAGGGGTGTTGTACCCTCTACAGAAATGTTCAGTAACCACTACCAAGCCTACAATTACATACTAACATATATAATTTAACAGTTAGGCCTGATGTGTTGGTCGTGGGTGGACGACATGCTTCGAGATTGGATGTACGGCTTGCCTCATGCTCTCTTCGAGCACGATTCTGACATTGCTAGCGCTGTTCGAGGACAAGCACGTCGACGTCTTTTGCCTGAGTATCCGCCCACGAGCGACGGCACCTGGGCCCCTACCAACTGAGTGAGTTCCAAGGTGTTCTGCACGCTTTTGATTTCCAGCTGTGTCTATCACTATCCACGAGTGCATCTCATATACTTTGCCTCCACCAGGTTACCTATGCGGATTGCATCCGCCCGTGAAGTGCCTCATGCGGGATCGAAGCACTAAACGCAACCGAGCGTGGCTGGCTCGTTATGACAATTTGACTGGACTACATTAGCGTACGGTAATGTATTGCGGCCATGTCCATAACTGCTTGAGCAGTGAGCCGCTTTCGCCGCCACATGTACAGGCAGGTGAGGTTTCTGCTAGCCGGTTGCTCGTCTTTCCGCCCTCTTATTTCAGCGCGTGTGGCCCATCTCTCCCTTTCG